AGCCCTGTAAGCTTGGTGTTGGTGGCGATCTGCGTTGACTCCAATTGTCCAATCTTCTCGTTTGTCACCTGCAAATCTGTATCATGTCCTTCTGTGTGTTGCTTCACTTGCCTTGTAAAATATTGGATGATGCGTTTGGTGCGTGGGGAATGAGATGCACCCTCCTCGTCTTTATCCTCGGGACCTGCCATGGTTTAGAAAAGAAGGACAACAAAACAATAGAGGATGTAATATAAGCCCTACAACTATTGGGATGTAGCTTTTGCAAAATGCTCACTCGCAGCCTATCTCACAAGCTCTTAACAGTTCTTATCTTGCACACAGGAGGGGACGGTAACACACAAGTTAGCAACCGTGGAACGAGGTGTATTAGTGCTGTAGCAACAAGACCTGTCAAGCTGTAGTCGGGTTTGTGGTGGAGCTGTCGGTGGGCTGAAAGCAATGCTCAAGAGAAAACTAGAAACCACGTTAGTCAAAGCAAGTTGAATAATCGCTCAAGGGTATAGTGTACAGTGCTGGTCCTAGGCTAGTCGAAGTAGAGACGTGAGCCTAACCACAAAGGATGCCACAAAACACAAACCAAACAGCAACGATAAAGGGGGAATGGTGGTTACTCGAACGGTGGAAGGTGGTGACCAAGGGGGAATGGTGGGGTGTGCTCACAAGTCGGCTTCCTCTCTTCTGCCTTTTTTTTTTTGCTTTCTCTCTCTAGTGCTGAGGAGAGAGACACGACTTTTTTTATTTTTTTTATTTTTTTGATATTTTTTGCACAACTAGGAGCACACTGGAACCAACCACAGAAAATCTTATCTCAAACGGACAAAGTATGAAGCTTGTAGAATTTTTCAAAGTTCTATCCGAATAGGTCCCAAAGCTTCTCGCCACGAAAACAGAATTTTGCAAGCGGAATTTGGCGATTTTAAATTTGCCGAACCCGGCGAAGATGGGAAGAATTGGATGTAACTTTTTCTGTAGATGTCCATGGATATATTATAAGCCTAATTTCGAGTCCGTATGAAAAAGATATGACTGTTTTAAGGAAGGTCACTCGAATCAGGGTTCTATTTCCTTTCTAGTGGTGGCAGGATACAAGGCAACTCACAAACGCTATCGGCAACAGATCAAACACAAATAGAAAGTGATTTGGTGGGTGACTGCGATGGCGGTGACGGTGGTGATGACGACAAAATTGATGAGGGTGGCGATGTGCGGTGGCAAGAACTCGAAACTCTAATCGCCTAACACTAAGACCAGCAAATTAACACAACCGATGCAATCGAAAACTCAACAAGCCTTAACTAAGCAGTACTAGCAAAAAGGTACAATGGTCTCTAGGATCACGGGAAACTAATCTACTATTTTTTTTTGTTGGCCTTTTCTGGACTATAGGAAAAAAATTTAATAACAAAGGGAAGGGTAAAATCTCTCACTGATGAACCACGCTCTGATACCACCTGATGCGAACCCGCTAGGGTTTGTGGCCCGATCTTTCGATGAGAGGTGGGGATAACTCGATTGGATGAAGACGACGTTCACGGCCCGATTACAACCGTCCAAAGATGCTGCGCCTTAGCAACCGATACACTGTCTCCAATGGTCACCGCGAACTTGTGGTGCGCGTCAACCCTGCCACGAGGGCACTCATCTTGCAAACAATCAAAGAACAAGCAAGAACAAGTAGAACAAGCACTGAATTGCTAGATGACGATGAAAGTTTTCACAATCAAAAACACAATATGGTGGGGTTCTGATTACATGCAGACAGGCGGTTTAGCCAACATGCACGCTGCGAGCCGGTAGCAAGTAGCTAACTCTATCATCAAAACCCAAGTGTTCTTGGCGGCGATTAGAGGTATAAGAAGAGGGGAAGAACAACCACAGGGTCGTGCTCCAACCCTAGGACGCACCCCTAATGGGCCCAACTTGATACACAACCCATTGGGCCAAAGGAGGTGACGCAGCACCATGGACAGAAAGCAGTTGGGACTAAAACGACGATTGCGGCCGCTCCAGAACAGATATGAACATGTGGCTGGATCCATTTGAAAGTAGACTTGATAAGCTTTCCATGAAGTACTTGCACGCCGAAATCGCATGAAATTGTGAAGACCGTCCGATGTTGGTGCTGTCCTGTAATCTGAATCCAACCGGCGGAAATCCTCTCCCCTTTGGATCCTCTCCATCGTTCCTGAGTAAAACAAGAGTGCACGCGTCTCCGGGGTATAAAGAAGAGGAAAATGAACTCAAGAAAGAACTCACCTAATTGTTCAGTTGACGTGCACGAGCGCGGGTAATAGGACCATGAAGTTGTACTTGTGGGGACGTGGATGTATCGATGGTGTTGATATCCTCATCACATGTTAGCGAAACCGGGCATCCATACTACCTCGGGACCTTTTTTGGATGGTTTTATATAGTTGAGGGGTACACATTTCTGGTATTGCGGTTAGGGGACCTTAGACAGACTCGGCGTACAATTGAGGGATGTCACGTGAACTTATTCCTTTTAAGAATATCTTTTAATGGAAGTGTAGCGTCTCATGTATTATCGTAGATTATAGGGTTAATTTGATTCATGCCATTATATTTGCTTGTTTTGAAATATACCATTATAATTCATGAAATTGGAACCATACCATTACAATTTACCATAAAGATGTGCCATTGCTTACCATTTCAATACAATTTTTACTTCTTCCTGACCAAATTACCCTTGTCTTCTTGTTCATCCTCTTCATTCCCTTTCTCTCTTCTCTCAGCTCCAAGCTCGATAGAACAAGATCCGTTGGTTGCCCTCGTTTTGAGGCTGTCCTACAACGTCGCCACCGCCGGACCTTGCCACCACAAGGCAAGACTGAGTAGAGGTCAGCAACTTCGCAGGATGGCTAGGTGATGACCTATGTCTCAGAGACTCCGCCACCGTAATGTGCAGCAACGACCTAGATGATGCTGCTCCCGGAGACGATGATGTCGGCGACGCCTACAAGATCGTCTTCCTGTTGTTGTTCTGGCGGAATTCTCCAGAAGTGAGTTGCTGGGGCCCGGCCCCATCCTCACATAGTTCTCTTCTTCCCCCAATTAGACTGCTTTAGTTATGTCAGTATGTGTATATCTGTGTTTTGTAGTTTGTACAGCTCCCAGGAAGGACACCTATGGAGTTTTCTAGAGCCCATTGACCTGGAGGAGATGGTTGTTGGGATATGCGTAGGCTACGATAACATAAATCAAAACTTTTCTACCGCGTAAACTAGGAACCATGCAAGTATTAGATCATAGATCGTTATCACTCGACGCGCTGCGCAGCGGAAGAAGGCGCTAAGAAGTCGAAGGAATTCTCGCGAAGTAGTGCGCGTCGATGTAGAGGAAGTAGTCGATGGCACCGGCTCGACCTTCTCCTCCTCGTGTACTCTTCTCGCCGTACTCCCATTCCGATCAGCACCGCAAATCAGCGGCACCTCTACTGGTATCCACACGTACAAGGACGGAACGCCACGCGCAGATGTGCTAGCACCCGCGTGCGGCTAGGGTTTTGCTCCGGGAGGGGAGTGACGGCTAGGGTTTCTCACGTGATGCGATCCCTCCGCTGGTCACACCTCTCACGAATATATAGAATCCATCACTCGGGCCTCCAAGGCCCGTAGGACTCCTATTCGGATCCCTATCTGAATTAAGCTCATATTGGATCTCCATCCAATCCCCTTATTCCGGCCCATTAAGCATGCGACCCTGTAGGTTCATGTACACTCGGCTGTAACCCGAAAACTCCTTTTCGCTCCACGTGTCAACAGCGGCCCCTAGCAGAACGTATTGACCCACCGAGCATACATAAAGATCATATCAGCTGAACCTCTAGCGTATACTTGTATGAACCCCTTTGCCTCACGATATCGATTAAGCTCAAGAAAAGATATGTGCCATCCTCTAATAGCTCAATCATTCACTCGAATCTGTGATAGATAGATTATATAACTTGTGATTGACTCCTCAATCACTTTTGGCATGGCCATGCACTTCCATAATCTATAACATCGAGGGGCCCAGAGATATCTCTCCATAGGAGGGGCCAATCCCATCTTGATTATTCATATTCCACTACATGTTTCACAGCATACCCAAAAACTACTTTTATAATTTCCCAATTACGGAGTAGCGTTTAGCAGTCCCTAAGTAAGCTACGACACATGTTGGGAACCATGATAATCTCAGGTCTAAGGATTCAACACCAACACTAAATGAGATCACTGATGACACAACACAGATGGCTCTTGCACTGTATCATGTTGGGTCTATCCAACAACATGTTCCCCAACATGTGTTCACATTATTAATTTGGTATCTCTGTACTATGATCCATGAGACATGATCATCAATTAATACTTGTGCTGATCATTTAAACATATTTGTTCCACATATGATATTTGATCATGGATCCTTAAGAAATAGTAACAAACAACATAAAGAGTCTAATGAAAGAACCACATATTCATTAACCAATAATGAGTTATCTATTTCAAAGAACAAAGTTGGATAAATATATAAACATAGTATGTGATACAATCATCTGTATGATTGCCTCTAGGGCATATCACTACAGTGGTGGGAGTGATGATGCATGCTGCACGTTGTACAATGAAGCCAACGACGGCCATTCCTGCCTCTTGTTCCATCGGAACTCGAAGCTGAGAGGAGGGAAAGAACGGGGAAGGAACAGGAGGAGGATGGAGGAAGAAGACGACGGTAATTTGTTCAGAAATTGTATTGAAAGGGGTAAGTATTGGCACATCTTCGATACTTACTAAATTGTGGTTCCAATTTTATAAATTATAATGGTATATTTTATAACGAGCAAATTTATAATGGTATGAATCTAATTAGGGCCCCTTTGAATCGTAGGAATAAAAAAACGGAGAAATAGGAAAAATATAGGATTCTGACAGGAATGCTAGTGTAAAACAAATGATTGCAAAACACAGAAAAAACACAGGAATGATCGTTTGATTAGACCACAGAAAAAACATAGGAATCGGATGAGAGAGATAAACTCAAAGGATTTTTACCAAGAGATTGGACCTCTCCAAAACCTATATGCAACAAGCCATTCCATAGGAATTTTGTAGGATTTCAATCCTTTTCATCAAAGAGCTACATAAGAAAATTTCCGGTAGGATTTCAATCTTATGAAATTTCCTCCATAATTTGTTTGATTCAAAGGGCCCTTAATCCTAGATTATATTGGCTTACATGAGTCTACTACTAGTCTACTACACGTGGCTTCCATCAGGGATGTCCTAACGGACTCAACCGGTGTTTCTTCTACGCCTAGTACCTTCCAGGCCGAGATCTCCCATTTGGATCCTCTGTTCTGCAGTCTGCACGGCTTTCTTCTAGCTGTCGGAAGGGTGAAGTCTTGCAACAGATGCCATACCTACCAGGAAAGCAAAGTGTCGAAACATGAATTCGGCAATAATAAAAGGGGGTTGCGTACGAGACCTAAAGTGGATGGATGCAGAGACAAAGGATTTAGACAGGTTCAGGCCCTCTCGATGAGAGGTAATACCCTACTCCTGTTTGGGGATTTGAATCCGCCGAGTGTGTATTGATCTGACGATCAGGTTGTCTCATGCCCCTAGAGGGGGCTCCCTGCCCTCCTTATATAGGTTGGGGGGCAGGGTTACAAGATAGAAACCTTAACCAATACGGTATCGGTTTCCTAAATCTACTTTACAATCTTATCAAACCAGGACTTTAGGCCGTTCCATAATATACAGGGAAACGTAATACCCAAGTCATGATCTGTTACATATTTCATATATATAAGTTATCCCCTATAACTAGTCGGATAATCATGCCGTGTGGGTATGGGGTACCCATAATCTCCACAGTAGCCCCTGAGACCTTCACAGTCGGAAAGATAATCTTCTCTCGAACTAGATTACTCCAAAGCCGAGTGCTTCAATCATCTTCGCCATGATCTCCCGAGTACTTTTTCCAAATCAGAAGACTGTGGAGGGCTGAAAAAATAAAGTCAGATGCATCGACTAGATGCACCTAATAGGTGTAACCCCCGACTATGTGGTTAATTGAACAAACCAAACATATAATCAAGGAATAAATAATCTAACCAACCGAGTGGTTTCGATAATTGTAGTCAACCAAGCGACTTAATATTAATATGTAGCATATGCGGTGTGAATCCCTGAATAATATGATCCAAGTGATATACCGACTGCTTTGTAAAATATGATGAGTGTAACCTAAAGTTGGCTACATCATTGAAAATTCACATAGCAAAACAGCTATAAAGAAGCTTGTATGTTGTGAATAAAGAAATTTCCATAGTATTGGGCATACGCCATGCGCACACTGCTTTAACAGATGTGCTTAAGTCCCTAGAAGACACATGGTTCCACCACACCTGGAAATATATGGCATATGTGGTATAAAATCCGAGTAAATAAACTCATAAAGGATTCACCAACCGCCTGAAAAATGACCACAATATATAATCAGCCTAAGCCATAATATTGGTCAATAAAAATGCACACTTACGTGGCGAAAAGCAATGATATTGTATCCAATCAATTGCTTAAAAACCCAAACAGCACCATGACTATATAAAAAAGTCAGCGGGCCAGCTATATAAAGCTTTACTGTTTGACACCTTTTAAGATGCATTGTACCAACTCCTAAAAAGTTGAGTAACTGCGGTATAAAAGGATTTTAAGGTATTGGGCACTTGATCACGCGCACTTTGGCCTAAGCAAAAAGTGCCTAAGTCCCTAAAAGAACGTGACAGGCCACACCTGAAAATATGGGCTGCAGACATATTAGGCCTAGGCCAAAAAATATGCCTTCGACACCCTTTAAAGGATGACGCATATAACATGCTCCCGAGTAATAAATCTTCCGGGTAATATAGACCAAGCGTAGCTCATATGAATAGCTTCTGATCTGAGTGATTATCCCTTATGGGATACTCCAAAATAGATGTAACAATTGAATCCCGACTGGCGCAAGTATTCAGTTGATAACCCTTACGGGGAATAATAAATAGTCCAGTCTTTGAGCATATAAAATAGACCCATGATCATGAATTCATGTTGCATGTATCCGGAGCAAGTCCAAATTGAAGATATAATACTTGTATTTGAGCTAGTAAGCCCCTGAGCACGTAGTCACAATTGTTCATCGATGGTAGCTGACGCAGTTGGCATAGAGACAAGACGACCAATATAGAGATAATATTGCCCAACAGAGGTGGCAAAAATATTGGTGGTAGTGAAGATAGTGATACCAATCAAAAGTGATGAAGTTGCACAGCCGTGGAGGCGAAGAAACCAGTCGGCGGCAGACAGATCAACTAACAATGAAGATGAAGAAAATAGTTGACGACGACAAACGCAACCGACATGATGAAGATGATGATGTCGGCGATCCAGTCAATAGCAGTGTCGCAACCAATGATAATGACAAAGACGCTCATCAGCATTTGCATAGTAGGTCAACCGTGAAGGTGAAATAATAAGTCGGCGAAAACATAATCATCCATTAGCAACAGCGGAGATGTCAGGGCCGATGAAGCAGAGGTGCTGGTGATGATGTCAGTGACAATAATCCATCAAATTAATGTTATGGCTGTTGTAGATGCTTCACTTGGAGGAGAGTTGATGTTGTTGTCTAACTCGTCCAAACCGAAATATTTGAAGTTGTTGAAGTAGAATGTCTGCTCCGAATCAAAGATGAAGATAATGACTCCTGGAGTTGACTCGTTGGTTGATGAATTGATTTCTTCAGCTTGACATAAAATTTGGCAAATTTTGAGCCTTATATTTGTGTAGCCCCCGACTCTTTGGTTAGTTGGGAAACAACTGAACATAGAGTCGAGAATTATAGCTTCTTGTCGTCGAGTAGTCATTGCTTGATTGAAGATATGTGTTGAAGATGTCCAAGTAGAAATCCTGAATATTGGAGAGCCTCTTGTTGTAGTAAAACAACATGGCATCGCATGCCGAGATGTCGAGGCATGATGACAAAGTTGCATTGCCGTGATGAAGTGAATACGAGTCGGCGGCAACAGAAGCAAACTGGTAGTGAAGATGCGCAGTTGTGAAGATAAAAGCACCAGTCGGCGGCGGCATAATCAGTCGGCGACAGAAGATGATGATGTCCATCAGTAGTGGTAGCTGTATAAACCAAATGTAGAGGCGAGGGCACTAGTCAGCAGCAGACGAGACGACCGGCGATGAAGATGGTAAGGCCAATCAACACTGGCAGAATCATGCAGCCATGGAAGTGAAGAAACCAGTCGGCAGCCATGGCAAACGTAGGCAGCTTGTGTTGAAGATACTGATGCCTATTAGTAGTGACAGCGATGTAGCCAGCCGTGAAGAAGATAGCATCAGTTGGCGTTATAACAGGCCAGCCGTGCAGGCGGTGACACCAGTCAGCGGCGGATGCGGCGGCCGGTCGGTGAAGACGTAGACGCCAAACAACGGCAGCATAAAGGCCAGCCGTGCAGGCGGAAACACCAGTCGGCGGCGGCGAAGGCAAGCCGGTCGGTGAAGACGTAGACGCCCAACAACGGCAGCATAATAGGCCAGCCGTGCAGGCGGAAGCACCAGTCGGCGGCGGACGAGGCGGCCGGTCGGTGAAGACGTAGACGCCCAACAACGGCGGCATAAAGGCCAGCCGTGCAGGCGGAAACACCAGTCGGCAGCGGCGGAGGCAAGCCGGTCGGTAAAGACGTAGACGCCCAACAACGGCGGCATAAAGGCCAGCCGTGCAGGCGGAAACACCAGTCGGCGGCGGACGAGGCGGCCGGTCGGTGAAGACGTAGACGCCCAACAACGGCGGCATAAAGGCCAGCCGTGCAGGCGGAAACACCAGTCGGCAGCGGCGAAGGCAAGCCGGTCGGTAAAGACGTAGACGCCCAATAACGGCGGCATAAAGGCCAGCCGTGCAGGCGGAAACACCAGTCGGCGGCGGCGAAGGCAAGCCGGTCGGTGAAGACGTAGACGCCCAACAACGGCGGCATAATAAGTCAGCCGTGCAGGCGGAAGCACCAGTCGGCAGCGGCGAAGGCAAGCCGGTCGGTAAAGACGTAGACGCCCAACAACGGCGGCATAAAGGCCAGCCGTGCAGGCGGAAACACCAGTCGGCGGCGGCGAAGGCAAGCCGGTCGGTGAAGACGTAGACGCCCAACAACGGCGGCATAATAAGTCAGCCGTGCAGGCGGAAGCACCAGTCGGCGGCGGCGAAGGCAAGCCGGTCGGTGAAGACGTAGACGCCCAACAACGGCGGCATAATAAGTCAGCCGTGCAGGCGGAAGCACCAGTCGGCGGCAGACGAGGCGGCCGGTTGGTGATGTTCTGACTGATCCATTCCTGGAGTGTAAGAGATAAGCTTAAAGCCATGAATCCCTTTTATGCATGTCTGGATCTGGATCCTGCAGAACAAACATATAGGATGAGTAGTATCTGATATAAATATAATACTCGAGAAAAAATCAAGTATTTTAAAATATTGATAAATATGTATTTCTCCTCTTGTCAATTTTGATTTCCCCGAGCAGATGACTCTGTACGTTTAAACACTCTGTCCGACTAGTCATAGCCCCCAAGCATCGGGAGTCGGCCTAGGCATTTCCCAAACATGCATATGAGTGACATGAGTTCGTCATTAATGGAACAAAGTTTCACGGATCAGAATTTACTACTTAGGTACTTTTGCAATTATTAAGAGCAGAAAATAAATTTATCTCATCTCTATGCTTTTGATTTATTCCGAATAATACTTAGCACCTTGCGTTACTCGGTCCATCCAACGAGCCCCCGGGTGCTAGGAATCGGCCCAAAGGCAACCATCCATTGGCAAACCAAACGGAAAGCATAGGAAGATAGAACTCCATAACTCGATAGGTACTTTTGTACTCAGATTACATCTCAAGCAATCAAGATAAATATTATAAAAAATATGATATAACATCTGTAGCCCCCGACTCACTACTCAATGGAAGACCAATTGGTGTAGTGAGGCAGAGGAAAAGGAAAAATATCATATAAAGAATAAAATAAATGATGACTTAGCTTTGTCGTATTCCCTCGGTGGCAGCAGAAGTAGCCGATGTGGGAACGAAACAGTCCATCAATAACAATGAGGACACCAGTCGGCGGCGACGAAGGCGGTCGACGGTGAAAGCGAAGATGCCCACCAACGACGACATAATAGGCTAGCCGTGTCGGCAGAGACACCAGTCGGCGGCGGCAAAGGCAAGCCGGTTGGTGAAGACGTGGACGCCCATGAACGGTGGTGTGACCAACCAACCGTATAGGCGAGGACACCAGTCGGCGGCGACGGAGGCAGGCCGGTCGGTGAAGACGTTGTTGCTATCAGCGGCGGTGGCAAAGGCAAGCCGGTTGGTGAAGA